CACCCCTCGCACGCTTCGTGGCCCCATAGGGAACTCCACCGAAAGCCCCAGTGGCTGCGCTCGCATGACACCACCGCACCCATGTCGGCACGCCCCTCACACGTTTTGTGGCCCCATAGGGGGCTCCACCGAAGGCCCCAGTGGCTGCTCTCGCATGTCACCACCGGACCCATGTCGGCACGCCCCTCACACGTTTTGTGGCCCCCTTACGAGGCTCCACCGAAGGCCCCAGTGGTTGCGCTCGCAGGACACCATCGCGCCCATGTTGGCACGCCCCTCAGGTTTCGTGCCCCATAAGGAGCCCCACCGAAGACGATACCAACAATTGCGTTGCTCACAACTGCATATGGCACCCTTCGCCAGGGTAATAAAAACTAGTGTTCGCGGCGCTAAGCCGAGAGCCACGTTTGGAAAACCGCCCGCCCTCAATTCGTGAAGCTCTTGCACTTTTTAAAGACGAAACTGCGCGGCGCTAAGGCGAGAGCCACATTTTGAAGACCACCCACCCTCAAATGGTGAAACTCTTGCATCTTAAACGAAACTGCGCGGCGCTGAAGCGAGAGCTACATTTTGAAAACGACCCGCCGTCCATCTTTGAAACTGTTGTCAATTTCTAAGCTTCAGGGTCATAAATGGTGAGGAAGTCTCCGGCGAAACACCCAACCCGCCCTAAAACTGGCCTCGGGGTGCGACAGAGAAGTAGTTGTAAGGAGAAGGACCAGCAGCAGGAGCAGGAGCAGGAGGAGGAGGAGGAGGAGGAGGAGGAAAAGAAAAGGGGAAGGAAGGGGATCGAGCAAGCGAAGGAAGAGGAAGAGGAGGAGGAGGAGGAGGAGGAGGAGAGGAGGAGGAGGAGGAGGAGGAGGAGGAGGAGGAGGAGGAGGAGGAGGAGGAGGAGGGAGGAGGAGGAGGAGGAGGAGGAGGAGGAGGGAGGAGGAGGAGGAGGAGGAGGAGGAGGAGGAGGAGGAGGAGGAGGAGGAGGAGGGGGAGGGGGAGGGGGAGGGGGAGGGGGAGGGGGAGGAGGAGGGGGAGGGGAGGAGGAGGAGGAGGAGGAGGAGGAGGAGGAGGAGGAGGAGGAGGAGGAGGAGGAGGAGGAGAGAGGAGGAGGAGGAGGAGGAGGAGGAGGAGGAGGAGGAGGAGGAGGAGGAGGAGGAGGAGGAGGAGGAGGAGGAGGAGGAGGAGGAGGAGGAGAGGAGGAGGAGGAGGAGGAGGAGGAGGAGGAGGAGGAGGAGGACGACGACGACGACGACGACGACGACGCCCCTCGGCCCGTCTGGCCCCTCCCCCGAGGACCCCGAGTGCAGCTCCGACGGGGGCGCGCCCGTGGGCGGCCCCGCTCCGTGGCGGGCGGCTGCCGGTGCGCCGGCGTGGCGGCCGCCGTGGCGGGAGCGCGTCGCCCGCGCGCTGGGCATCCAACGCTGGTGGGGCTCCCAGGGGGGCAGCGGGCGTCGGAGAAGGAGGAGGAGGAGGAGGAGGAGGAGGAGGAGGAGGACGGAGGAGGAGGAGGAGGAGGAGGAGGAGGAGGAGGAGGAGGAGGAGGAGGAGGAGAAGGATGCCCCATTCCCCTTCGGGCCATGAGAAGTCACGGCGGAAGGTTTTTCGCGACGTTCGGCCTCGGGGGCCGCTGTCGGGCCCCAGGACCGTCAAAAGACAACTCGGGATGAAAAGCGGGTCACGGGGAATGGGTCCAGACCTCTGAGGCTCCCGGGGGTGGCAGCGGGCGTCGCAGATCGATCGGGCGTTGCGTGATGGGGGGCGATAAGTGGAGGCCTAAAGGCCTAAAGGCCTAAAGAGTCCCTATAAAAGGGGCCTCTGAGGCCCAAAGGGCCCCGACAGGTCTGCGTTCCCCCCCCCCCTCCCCGCACTCCTCGCCCCGAACACTCCCAGTGCAAGAGAGGGTACCGATCCCCGAGAGCCGAGCGTCGCAATTTCTCAATCCGGGCGTGTTCGCCCGGTCTCGAGCCCCAGGGTCGGCACGAACGAAATGGGCACGGAAAGAATGGGCACAATGCCCAACAGCAGTTCTGGTTCATTTCGAACAGGACTCGCTGTCCGCGCCGCCGCGGCCTGTGTCCACTTGAGACAGAAGGCCGCCTGCCCAGCAGCGGCCGCTGCTGGTTTGGGACAACATTTGTTGTTGGGCACTGTGCCCATTGTTTCAGTACCCATTTCGGGCGTCCAAACAAGGGGGTGGTGGTGGGGGTGCGGAGGAGGAGGAGGAGGAGGAGGAGGAGGAGGAGGAGGAGGAGGAGGAGGACGAGAGAGCGGTAGGGCGCAGGAGCGGCGAGAAGGGTCCTCCTTCCTCCTCCTCCTCCCTCCTCCTCCTCCTCCTCCTCTTCCTCCTCCTCCTCCTCCTCTTCCTTTGTGGTGGGGGTGCGCGAGCCCGGCCGCGCTCCGCGCCGGCCCCGCTGCCCGGGCCAGGTGGAGCGGCAGCAGCGGCAGCGAGTCGGAGCCCGCCGCGGCTGCGGGAGCCCCGCGGCCGCGCCGGCGGGCGTCGAAGGAGGCCCGCTCAGGGCGCCGTCGTCGTCGTCGTCGTCGTCGTCGTCGTCGTCGTCGTCGTCGTCGTCGTCGTCGTCGTCCTGGAGAGTTCTCGTCACCACGGCTGGGTTCTCCTCGATTTTTTTGACGCTTCGCGTATCCCCCACCAGTCTGCTGTCTGAGTGGGCAGGCCGGCATGCGCCTGTCTTAGCTAATTCGCCTAGCTCGAGTCCCGGACTTTGCTCTTGCCGCCTGACCGTCGTCTCGCGGCCGCGACCGAAAAAGTATCCCCACCAGCTTGGGATGCCTCGCCGTTTGGGCGCTCCTTGGCCGGCGGGCGCCGTTCGCATGATCAGCGACGTCGGGCCCCGCGTTTCCCATGCGCCTGTCGTGCCCCGCCCCCAGGTGCTTGGTGTCTCCTGGCACGGCGCTCTGCCGCCTCGCTGTAGGTGTTGCTCGGCACTGCCGTCGGCCTTCCGCCGCGGCAATCGCCTTTGCCTCCCCCTTCGGTACTCCTCGTGTACGTCGAGCGCCTGCACGTTGCCTGCGGGCTCGTTTCGGTCTTCTTCCAGGACGTGGCCCTGGGCATCAATTGCTTCGCCATTTTGGCATGCACTCGGGCCAGCGCATTCCTGGTCTTCGGCGGCTTCGGCGTGTTCGACCTGTTCATCAGCGTCTGCTTCGCCCCCTGAGCCGCAGCGTAGTTCGCTCCTGCGCGCTCAGTGCCTAATTAAATCCGCTGCTCGTTCGCCGCATTTTGATTTGACGCCGAGCGATTTGTCGCAACGGTCGCGATCCAAAAAGTATCCCCACAAGCACATCGACAAACGATGCCCAGGCGAGTTGCCTTGATCAGGGGAAGCCGTCAAATTGGAGTTCGGGATCAGCCTGCGCAGACCCCGGAGCGAACCGTATGCGCCATCGTGGACCTGCCGAATGAGGGACGAGGAGGAGAAGGAGGAGGAGGAGGAGGAGGAGGAGGAGGAGGCGAAAGGGTATCGAGCAGGCGCAGGAGGAGGAGGAGGAGGAGGAGGAGGAGGAGGAGGATAAATCTTGGAATAATGTTAGAGGGTGCCAGTCAGCAGCGAAACCACAGCTGGACACTTACCCCCCCCTTTTTCGGGGGGCGGCTTTCGATATAATATATATATATATATATATATATATATATATATATAATATATATATATATATATATATATATATATCCGAGTCTCGGGCTTCAAAAAACATCGGATCACGCTCGAGCCTGCCTCTACACGGACGCGCCCCAGTCCTTTGGGCCAGTTGTCACCCTTGGGGGGGGCCCTGGCGCAATATATTCGGCAAGTTTTCTCCTGAAAGGGTCTTACGATAACGGCACGGCTCTGGACGAGGAGAAGGAGAAGGAGGAGGAGGAGGAGGAGGAGGAGGAACAGCAGGAGGAGCAGGAGGAGGAGGAGGAGGAGGAGGAGGATTTTTTTTTGCCGCTGCGCTACTCTGCCGCGAGTGGTCGCGGTCCTCCTGGCGGCCAGCCAGGCAGCCGACGAGCACGGCACTTAAGACGCTGCCAGCGCAGGATTGTTCCATGCACGCTGGCCGACCCGCAAAAGCAGGCCACGCGACAGGGCCTTGCCCCCGTGGCGACTGCCAGGAGGCCCACCCGTCGGGCGTCAATCAAATAACCGCACCGCACTGAGAGCATCCACGTCGAGCCAAATAAAGTCGCTCTTCGGGTGCTTGCCAGACAGGAGACGGTTCCAATATGAGGCCGCCGAGCGGGGGCAGTGCGGCTTACCATTACAAACTTTGTTGAGATAGCGCACGTAGCCCCCAGTCGAAAAAAAAAAACCTTACACTTCAGGCAGATACACAAAACGCTACCGTCAGAGCAAGACAGGGCAATGCACTTGTGGCCAAGCTCTATGAGCTTGGTGTCATAGAGCTTGTGGGTGTGACGGCAGACACTGTTGGGAGGCCAACAGGACCTGGACACCCTCAAACATTGCTTGCACTGCCAGTAGCCGTCCCTATGCACCCAAGAGTGGCTAATCTTGGGAGCGGACACGGCGGGCTCCCGCTGCTCACGCGTGGCCTGCGACAGATCACACGCGGGCCAGAGCGGTAGCATCCTGGCAGCCAGCACACACACTTTCTTAGCAATCGAAAGGGCTCGATCGAGCCATTCCGACTGCTCGGGGCTCGGCCTCTCGTGAGCCAACGCCCCGAGCTTGGCGTAGTGATCAGCTAGGTCGTTCCCAGCCTTACAAAACCGCAAATGATCATCCCCTTGGGCCTGTTCTTCGGTCATGTGACCTTTGACCTTGAAAATCTGGCCCATTTCAGAATCAGCCGTCCAAACAAACATTCCAGCGTGCACCCGTTTGAAAGACAACTGTTCTGAGCGGGGGAGGGACCACACCTGTACAACATTCTGACAATCACTATAACCACATGACGGTTCCAGGGCATTCTGGCAGGCCGCCGTACAAGCAGCGAACTCACCAGCCTGAGCCGTTTGCGGGATGGGGAGGGGGAGGGGGGCGTACACATGACCCAACTCTTGCCCAGAATCGGAGACCGAGACATACGACCACCCCGTCCGCGACAACTCCCGAATGACCGACTTGATGCACGAACCGTCCATAAAAATATGACCTTTCACAAAATAATCATCACGACCAGGGTCACTGGCATGATAAACAGTAGGTTCAGCAACAGTAGGGGCTGGAAAGAAATCACCAGGATGAGACATAATCCCCATGGTAAACAGAACCTGATCGTGCTTCGATAGGGATGACCATGCTGGTGGATGGTATTGAAAGTCATCCCCTAAAAGCTCGCGGCGCAGCTCGGCACAGGACTCGTGCACGCACTTCCACAACCTGTGGAAAATCGTGTCCTGCTCCTTGCCGCACAGGGGGCAGAGCAAGTCGGGCAAAATGTAGCCGTGCTCTGACGCTCTAACCTTGGTCCACGGAGCCTGACAGACGAGCCCGCGGATACAGCCTTTCTCCCAAGGCGTGAACTTAGACGAAGCCATAGCACGGAGCGGCACGTCTAAGCAAGCACGTCGCTCAAGACCAAGGCTGTCTCCGTAGGCGCGCTCATGAAATCTGAAAACGGCGAGGCGCAGCAGACGTTTGAGGAGGGCAGGAGAGACAAGCGCCAACTGAACTTCCACCCCCCAAATCGTCAACCAAGGTAGAGAAAGAGGGCATCTTCCACCCAAGACGCTCCACGGACAACCTGAGGGCCCCAACGGGGCCTCCAACCTGCCTCCAGGAGGGGGAAGGGCCCGCAAACACAGTACTCCAAGCCCCCCTGAGCTCGGCCAAGCTGAGGCCAAACTCGAAGGAGGCCGTCAGGCTGGCCCAGATTTCTTTGGACCAGCGCACGATCGGGGCCACAGCGCAATACCAGGTGGGGTCGGCGGCGAACAGCAAAGCTGCAGTGAGAGATCGGCCTCCAGCCGAAGGGCTGAGAAACCGTCCAAGGGATCGCCGCAAACTCGCCAACTCATGGTCGGAAGTGCCATGCACCTCACAGCCATAAGTTCTGCTGGCCAAGGGGCCACTCGTATATATACGCTTGGCGTGTCTCCCCAAAGCATTCCTGTGAACCCTCGACCTATGACATTTAGTTTTGAAGGCCTTCTTACGAATCTGAATCTTAGCTCCTCTCCTGGCCGTCCGCCGAGGCTTGCCAGCAGCGTCGTCAATGCCCAGGTTGACAGCAGATGCGCAAGGAGCTCCGCCCACAGCGCCAAGGCCTCGGCGGATCTCCTTAGCCACTAGAGGGACTGGGGCGACCACAGCCGCCTTGCTAACAGAAATAGAGCAACCAAGATCGGACTCGATGGCCACCTGCAATCGGAAAGCAGCTTCGATCAGGTCCTGTACGACGGCCTTGGGAGCCCCCGTGCACGACAAGGTGTAGTCATCGATGTAAACTCTCAACGAGACCGATCTAGGGATGCTAAGGCCGTCTAAGGCAGCTAGCGTGAAGACGCGAATGAAAGTGGTGGCGAATCCACACCCAGCAATCAAACCCCGCCACGCAAACTGCGGGCCCTCCACGCGGCCGTTCATGGCCATGTAGCGGCACGAGCGGTAAGCCTCGTAGCAGACCCTGGCAATCTGCATGGGAAAGGAATGCTGGTGACAACGAGCGGGGAGCGAGTCGAGGTCGACAGCCTCGTAGAACTTCAGAAGATCCCACAGGACAGACCCAGAACAGTCCTTGGAAGCCACAGCAACCTCGCTCCTCACTCCTTGCCTCCAGACGGTATCGACACTGGAGGCAAAAGCGCCAGCACAAAAATATTCTCGGGCATTGGCCACTTCCCACTGCCGAGCAAGGTCTCGCCTGGCGCGGGCCCACAAACGATGCAGAGCAACGAACAGTCCGATTGGGCGGTGCCCGCCACCGGGCTTCGCGAGCATAATAAGCAGCACAACTCTCATCTGACCAGGCAACAGACCCGACCGTTCCCAAATCGCAATCATGATCGACAGCACCTGCAGAGCAGGGTCCGACAGATGCTGAAACGACCGAACATGAAAGCCATCCACAGAAGAGGCGGTACGAGCAGGAAACGAACGGGCCGTCCGACGAAGATCCTCGACCGAAAGCACGGGCAGAGGCTCGAGAGGCACGAATCTGGAGCCAGAAGGTCGCGGCTCGGGAACAGGTTGGGCATGCCAGATCCGCGCAAATTTCTCGAGCTCGGAAGATAAAAGGGCCCCAGGGTCCGAAACCACCTCGCCTTTAGCCGACAGGGTCGTAGAGGGGGTCCACCCAGCAGCTCCCCGAATCACCCCGTGGGCATGACGGGCGCCGTTTTCAATATTGTGACGAATCCATTCCAACCAGTACAAATGATCATCGTGACGAGACTTGCTCTCAGCCGCCGCCAGGGCATGGGAGACCAAATCAAGCACGCGTTGGGGTTCCCCCTCAGTGACAGGTTGGCACGGGGGGCTATAGGTCGCAATATCTTGCACAGCCTGGAGGAGAGTCAATGGCTCACCATCCCAGGTGCCC